ATTATTGTCTCCTAAAAAGCCAGATAGGTAAAACATTTCCAGAAAGGGCATAAAAAGGAGGAAGAGAGAATTTTCTCGACCCAAACATTTCGTCAGTATTAACGCAATCACGGCATTTCTGTATCGGCAAGAAAGTACAAAGAATATCATAATCAATACAAGCTGAGATGCAGCTAGCGGTACTGACTTGTACATTTTCCACGATCTTTCAGTCTGTAATCCGGACGAATATTTCCACTTTTCAAAGGTGCTGCTGTGACGTGGACAAAAAACCTGTTATCGAAGCACGACTGCGAGCCTCGCAGCTCGCACTCAAACTTAAAAATGTACCAACGAATGCTATTTTGCTGTGCATACACCGATTCAAGCCGAGCCAAGTTCCCTGCCAAAGTGAGTGGAGCAAAATGTGGCACAGTATCTTCTCGACATGCTTAGGACTGTCAGAATTTGTATCAACGAATTTCTCGAAACTATCTAGTCCGGTGGCACTTCTGCATCACGATAAAGTATTGGTCGCGATCTTATAGGAGTTAACAGCTTTTGGCAAAAAGCAATGTAAAACTTGCTGTTTGTTCTCGACAAGTTTGGCGCCAGTTTAAACGATTACGGATATCGTTAATTTGCACTAAGCGCTGTTGATGTTCTGATATGATGAGGTCACTGTCGTATGTGTCTGATACTGCGATTACTTGCGACAAAACATTTGCATCAAGTGATGGCATCTCGCGCAGCAAATGGCGTTTCAGGCATGCCTTTCTTTCCATTTCCTTAACAATATGAATTTTAAAAGCCAGCAGCACACAAGATTCCTTTAGCTTCCCAATCCTGGAAATCGCGGAAATTTCGCCATTCATACAGTATAATGGAAAAAGTAATTTGTATAGCTCAAACGAGCCTCATCTTCGAATTCCCTTCTCGGAAAGTAAGGAATCGACGTCCCTCGACGAGATTTGGCTTTGTTATCCTCCGCATCTGTCCGACCTTGATCCAACGTCCCCCGACAACATTCATCATTGTCAAAATTGACAGTGACATGAAGATATCCAGGCAATTATTAAAACTCAGCTCGGCTCAGCCAGGTTGACGCGAATTGCAGTGGTTGGGGATGAAGAAACAGGAGGAAGAAAAAGCGGTATGGAAGTGGTGCCTACTGACTGAGAAGGAGCTGAGGCACTGCCTGGAGATAGATACTGGAAACAAGGTCGAAATACACGGGGAGTGGGCGCATGTGGGTTCATTATGCTCAGTGTGAAAAAACTGATGATGAGGGAAAGTTAGCAATTTTGAACGTGACATCTAAAACCTTACCTAGTGAAATAACTGGCCAGCGCACCGACTGCCGGTGCGAAGATGCGTTTTTTGCACAACTCCCCCGAAGATCTTTGTCGATAACGGCGCTGCTTTTTCTGACAGATCCTTCTAGCTAAAAGAATTAAGAGTGGTCTCCAGACTATCAGGAATTATTACAGTGGTCCTAATCCATGTCCAAAAAAATTCAGCGACATAGGCTGTGGAATTACGTTAAATTTCACGCATTTGTATGTGAAATGAATGTGAATGTTGTTTTCATATGTATCTCAAACACGTCCTGGGCCACGCTCAGGAAATCTTAACATTCCAGCTGCTTTGATTGCGGGATTACATAAAATTTTACGTTTCCGTGCCTTTTTTCCTGCGTGCATCTGCCTAAACACGTTCGAGGGCTAATATCTGAAAATTTCGGCAGTGTAGCTGCTCTGGTTGCAAGGTTGCATCAAATCCAACGTGTTCGGGTGCGAAAAGAAACGTAAAAGTTTTTTTATGCTCATTTGCTCAAACACAGTCGAGGGCCATGTTTAGACCTTCAACGTTCATCAGAATCTACAGCAGAAAAGATGATTCATCAGAGGTGCCTGAAAAAGTCTGAAGCGAATTCTAGTCACAGAGGGGAAAGACCTACCGACATCAGAGCATCGTTTGAAATGTTCAGTTCTTTCAGAGATCGACGATATGCTTCAATAACACTTTCGCTGCTAAGGATGCTTTTGTCCCACAATAATAAAAGGTTATAGAGGATTTCGTTATCAAAGTTTTGCTCCTGCACCAGGCACTTCCATATGCGCTCCTTCTGCATACCTCGCTAAAGCAATTATTGCTATAAAAACAACGAAAAGTGAACAGCGTAAGAAACAACGAGACATAAACTGATCCCCTCCACCACCAAAAATGTAACAAAAAAAGGCATACGAAATCGTTGGGGAACAGTGCGGAGCTAATGTGCTTTCGTCCTTTGGAAAAGTGGCTTTGTTTGTTTCGTCTCTCGCACATGGCATTATCGTTCCAAATTGTTTCGGTTTCTGGCGTGGACCAGTCCTGTGTGCTGGGTTCTTTTCCTACTGCTTCCACGGCGTCCGAACTGGTTGCGGTGAACAGTGCGCTCACCTGAGCAATGCATTCACTTCATGTTTATATGTTCGTAAATTCAAAAATAAAATGCATCAACTTTTTCTAGCAACCAAAAAGTCGCAGTTACTGAGGTTCACATGGAAAATACTAGCAAAAATAGCAAGCACATGTGTCAGTTTGTTAAAAGCAGCGGATGCAAGGGCATGCTGGGCTGTATCTCCCTCATTTACTGTCCTTTTTTTTTTTGGTGTAAGCGGAATGTGTCGTTTTGTAAGGAAAAGGAATTTTTCATTTGAGTCTTTTTCATGCCAGAATCGCTAAAAACTGTTTCGCAAAATACTCGGGGAGAGGTACAGATATGATGGGAAAACGATCGTTTTTAGTTCCCATTCAAATGTGCGTACGCATAAAAGCCAACTCACAGATAGAAAGAGAGACAGAGGGACACATACATATGCAAATACAGCACTCCTGAATTCAAGAACGCTACGTTGAAACCAAACTGGAAACAATGACCCAAATCCGAAATGTGGTGACCGCCCTCCCCAGCCGCAAATATCGAGCTTATCATAATTAAAAGCCGTCCGGAGAGAGCTCTTGCCACTCACTTCAATCAATATTAGATTAAGAAAGCTCCTTAGGTGGAAGAAACCGAAAACTGGATTACTTCAAAAACAGATATTAACAAAATCAAGAAAGTGATAATTTTCCTGATCAGGTAGCCCATGCTCATTATTAATAATTCTCATACAAAGAGAGCAGTTTGGCCAGGAGAAAAAAGCAGAACAAAAATTACATTCACGCTAAAGTAGAAACAAGAAAACAGGTAAGACAGATTACCATATTTTGATCAGCTGATGAAAAGCTCGCTGAAGACCAGTTTTCCTCATCCGAACGAGCAACTCGTGAAGTCGTGTTCCATGATTTAGGAACCTGAAACATCACAGTGGCATTAAAATTTTCATTTAAAAAAATTACAAAGTTCGAAAAGATGCCCTATTCCCCACTAAAAAATGCTGGTAATTTCCTCCATATAAAATATAATGGAACTTTTATAAGCAGTCACATATCGCTGCATTCATTTCGCATAACGACAACGTAATATTTGGCGCTTTTTGTTTGTTCCTTGCTGAAAAGTAATCCCAGCATGAATTAACTACACTTACGCTGCCCACAGTCAAGACTGTAAGCATCGACAGGGAACGAGATCCTTTTAACAACAACCCAAAGCAAAAAGCAACGAAAACATTGGCCTACAGGAAAGGTCGCTTTAGACTTGTGGGTCGAAACATCGGTAACAACCATCCTCTAAATTCACAAGTTTTTAACAAGATTGGTCCCGACTTGGCAGAGATCCAACAACATCTTAATTTGTGTGTGAGATGTAAGCTGAATTTAAAATGTTTGACACACACATCGTAAAACATTCATTTTTAGGGCTTGGCTGAATTCCGAAACTGCTTCTCGTCAAAACTCCCTTTGGCGCGTCCGTATGTGTAACTTAGGAAGTGAACTTTCATTTTACTTCTTGAGTCTCATTCATAGTAGATTAAACTACAGAAATTTTAGCTTCGCAGCCCCTGGAAATCGAAATATGCGAGCATACAAGCAGCTAATTTCTTCATGACATACATTTTTTTTACATTGCAAAAATGCAAAAAAAAAAAAA